CTTGCCCCCTTCTACCTCCTGAATACAGCTCTAGGAGCAACCTTGTAGTCACTACGCCTTAGTGATCATGCGGAGACCCCGCAGAGCAGCAGTAGGGGTGTTATCTCCCCGGAGAGCCCCGAAGCTGGGTAAGATTCGCCGACGTGCATGCCTTCGCCTAATCCCGTTTCCTGGCACCGGCGATGTTCTACTCGCTCCCACCATGATAAGCCATCCTTTGGCATATGTCGCACCCAACCCCCGACACTCCACGGATGCAATCGGCTGCCACTATGAGAAGAGAAGAAGAAAGTAAAGAAAGGAAAGACAAGCAGGGCACTGTTGCTAATTTGCCATTTACAACAATAAGGAGATACAATCTGCCCAGAATCACGTCAACAATGCCAGTCAATATAACCAAGCGCTGGGCTGCTGGATGCTATCCATAATACCAACTGTGGATTTATCTGCGTATTGAAACTTGGTCTGCTCCGTCTCTGTCTATCTGACAAAAATAAATGCCAGGTGATATCCATCCAAATTTATTTTATTAAACGTATTATTTTCATTAAAGAACAATTACTCTGGTATGTGGTAAATTTTCGCAGGGCCATTATTCATCACAAAGGTGTCGCAAAGGGGCGTGCGCCAATACTATTTTTTCACTAGCGCGTTCGTGCTGTGCTGCTGAACGGAGACATGCGCAAGTTGTCGCCCCTGCTACATCAACACACGTGATGGAATAATTGTCTCCGCCCGTCGTTGTTTCACCCGCGTCCGAGCCGCCTTACAACTCCATGGCCGACTCGCCCGTCCGCTCCGCCTTACAACGTCACGGACGACTCGCCCGTTCGCCCTTGCGGCCGGTTCACGCGTCTGCACCGACTTACAATGCGGAGGACAACTTGCTCGTCCGTACCAGTTTACAATGCCTCGGCCAACTCATCTGTTTACATCCGTGGCCGACTTGCTCGTGATTGGTTTTAACTTCACCATAGTTATCATCAACTCTGCGGCGGATAATTTCTGGCTTAACATATCAGGTGAAATCCATCCAGTATATTTTTATATTATATATTGCTTTCTTTAAAAGAGCAATTACTCTGGCTTGCAAGTTTTCCAATGCAGGACAAATTGTCCACTGCAAAAAGGGATTATTATATCACTAAGTTATTGGATAATTCATGCCGGTTTATATGACGGTTAAATATGAAGAATCTCGAGTCAACTCCTCGAGTCGTATTGAGACTCGGGGGCTACAATGACATGACTCGGGAACTCCGGGTCATTGGAGGGAAGGATAACCCGGTTCCGGAGGCCACTGCCATATTGATGAAAATTTAAAGGCCATCAGAAAATTGCCGGTTCAAATTAAAGATTTCGGCTTAAAATCCGGCTCAAGAGACATCTTTCTCCCGCAAAGCTTTGAAGCTCTCAAATCCGGTTCAACATCCGGCTCAAGGTAAATTTGTCTTTTACAAGCTTTGAAACTCTCAACTCCGGTTTAAAGTTCCGGTTCAAAAAGAATTAATCTCTCGCAAGTTCGAGTTCTAAGAAAAATTAAAGGTTGCCAAAAAGAGCCTGCTGCCATGATGCACGGTTCAAACATAGGTATCCTGCCTTACGGCTTATCTTATTATGGTCACTTGGGGGCTTCCTGCTCGTCGAGCATAGTTGTCGGTACCCTCTTGATCGGTGCAATGCTAATATATGGTCACTTGGGGGCTTCCTGTTCAAACATAGGTCGTATTCGAACCAAAGAGAACATAGCTGTCGAAACCCTTTTGATCGGCACACTACCAAACTCACTAGGGGGCTTCTTGATCGTATCCGAATCATAGTTTAACCTCTTTTGGGTCCAACGTGGGTCGTATTCGAATCAGTGTCGTTAAACAACTCAAGGTCATTTGGGGGCTTCCTGTTCAAACATAGGTCGTATTTGAACCAAAGAGAACATAGCTGTCGGTACCCTCTTGATCGGCAATGCCAAAGCCACTGGGGGCTATATGATTGTATTCGAATCTTAGCTCAACCCCTTTGGAACGGCTTTCTGATCGTATATGAATCAGAAGCCTGAAGTTTTTTAAGTCTTTTTTGCGAACAATTTTGGGTTTGACTGGAGACCTTTTTTGGATTATATCTCAAATGTATATAAGTTTTTATGCTTAACCCGGCTTGACTTTTGACTATAAGTCGCCAGCTTATGACAATCATCATCTATGTGGAAGCATTGGCTTCTAAATATTGGGTTATCACCTTTACTGCACAGGTCATGTAAACCGGCAGTACAAATTCAATATCACAGTGGTTATATGTGAGGTATTATAACCCGCCCTGCGGTAAACCGCCAAGGGTTCTTGTGATCTACTTGTGTGCATGGTAAGACTACATTTGGGTGGTTACCCGCCCTGGCTCTTGACGTTAGGTCGCCAGGGCATATGTTGTTTAAACTCTGTGCAGGATTTGCAGAACTATGATTTATATAAATGCTTCAGTCCCAGCTCATCACTAAAATTAGTGTCTCAAAAGGGTTATTAATTATTGATTTTTCTCAAGGGCTATAAGCCACCGGGTTACAAAATTTCCGGCTTACAATGAATGCGCATTAAGTCGTCATCGGCCAAGAGCCGCCGGGTATTTAAACTCCGGATTTACTTGTCAACCGATGAGGTATTCAAATCTTTAATAGCCAAAACTGGCTGGATTTTCATGATGATATTGAATGATTGAGGTTTTCATACCGGATTATATTATTCAAATCTTGAATAGCCAACATGGCTGGATTTCTATTGTGATTATCAATAGCCAATTTTATAGAGGTCTTCAAAGTCGCTTCAGCGCAATGGTTATTATTTTATCAATACAATTGAGGGAATAGTCCCGAGTCGCTGCAGGCTAACAATTCGGCACTTGGGGGCTACATTATTTAAATTGAGATTACATCAAATATGCAAGTCCCATGTCACTGCCAGAATGCACCATGGCACTTGGGGGCTAATGTAAAGTCATTTTTTGATCAACTTATTGAAGACTCGGCTCATCTCATTGTAATGAGCCGGCCCTTGGGGGCTACCAATTGCTCTTGTTAAAAATTTAAGGTACACAAGTTAATTCCATTATATTGAAGGGTCCATTGCTCAGTTGGTAAAGCATAAGGCTCTTAATCTTGTGGACGTGGGTTCAAGCCCCGCGGTGAAGGCTACATCATGAGATGTTATTTTTAATGAAGTATATATAAAGCCCCAGCTCAGTATTATCTTGCTGAGCCGGTTCTTGGGGGTTACACGTTGCTACTCAAGTTTACATAATCGTATCTACAAAGTCCCTGCTTATTATTATATAATGACCCGGCCCTTGAGGGCTACACTGGTTAAAATTTTATGAGCATAAGACAATTTACAAGTCCCATGTTGCTGCAAGCATGACAACCCGACACTTGGGGGTTACATGTGTGGAATATTTAGTTTATATGATTGAGATGAATAAAACGGATGTTTTCAAGGTTGCAACATTTATTGGAGCAAGTATTAAACCATCACCTTGTTCTGCTCAAGACTTGGGGGCTACAGGTAATATGGATATAAGGGAGAAAAATCTTCAAATTATCAGTTTTGAGCAAATCAGCAAGATCAATTACATGACCCGGTGTCAACAACAATTATGACCCGGCATTGTCTGTTTTATAATCCGGCAATTTTGGTGATGGTAAACCGGTAAGTGTTACAACTTCAATCCGGTTGAAAGTCAGATGAGTATTTTAAGATCAATATTTTTTAAGCCGGTGTTTTGGAGGCCGACTCAAATGAATTACCTCTTACTATATTTTTCTACAAGAAGACCAATGTCAGCAAATTGATTCTGAAGCTGGCCTGTTAACCTGGATTTTTTAAAGAAAGAAGTATCTGGTTTTTTTGCATTGACAAAGTTGAAGCATATCTGTTAAAGAAGATTTTTCTATGAGGTTATGGACATATTTATATCAACAAGGAAATGACAAGGACTTAAAGATGTTCAGGTGCCGGCTTACAAGAATATTTAACCCGGAGCACAACCTGTCAAATTTGTTCTTGAGTTATTTGCAGGATCAGTTTAACACGGATAAATCCAAATTAAACTGAGGGCTAATGTCGGGGTTATACCCCGCGGTATGACCCGGCCAAAAGTATAACGCGGCCAGACTTGGCGCTTCACCGATGACCCGCTGGAAGACTGGCGACTCACGGGTCTGGCGGCTCATGGATCAGACGACTCACGAGCTGGCGACTCACAGATGGCCCTAATGGCGGGTCAGATAGAAGACTAGGCCCAAGGCCTAGAAGGCCGGCTCATGTTATGTTGGGCCGGCTTAAGAGGAAAGGGATGATGAATATTTCCTTTACAAGGAAGCAAGACCCAGACTTGTATTCAATTTGTAAGAAAAGATAGACTAGTCCTAGTCCTACTAGTACTCCACATGTAACCCGCCCCTCTAACTTATATAAGAAGGGGCAGGGCTCCCCAAAAAGGGGAGGCAAGAAACAATCTCTAGGGCTAGACCTAACTAAAGAGAGCTAGCTTACCGGCGACTCCCTCATGATTATAATGAGACTTAGCCACAAACAACATGTAGGGTTATTACCGGATGATGTTTCCCAGGGCCCAAAGCTCTTTAAATCCTTGTCTTGTGTTGCGTCTCTCGATTCCGCCCAACCCCTCTCAAGCTACCGCATAGATGCGTTGGCCTCGCGACTAAGTCCTTACACTAAGGACATCTGCCCTAACAATTTCACGACATTCATCTTTTGCTACGATAGCAACACGCCGCTCAATGTTCGTCGACACGGATAATCGGCCTGATCAACACATTACTGCTATATAAGCTAACACGTACCAGGCCCATTTCATCAATCTCAGGACAACAGTTTAATCTAACTCCAACAATGATGTCAACATCGAGCACATAGACAGGTTTGCGAGATGAACGCCTCTCTCGAATCCCAAATAGAACTAGTTTTACGAGGTCCAGCTTATCAGAGGCTTCTCTATCTTGCCTCCGCCTCTTTGATTGTCCGGATGAGATGGGAGACACGATACTGGAGCTTCTCGTTCTCCACGGTCAGCTTCCGGTTCTGCAAGGTTCAGTAATTAAGAGGAAACGTGGTTACACTAGGATCAGACAGTGGTATGGTGGTGACGGTTAGTTTCAGGTAAATCAGATACCTGTTCCTTCTCAGCAAGACATTCTTTGGTGGTTGCGTCAAGCTTTGACTCAAGATCTCTCATGGCAGATGAACTTGCCTCAGAGGGGCCATCTAGTGAACAAGGAGGGAATGTGAGGTGTCTCTTTCACGAACATGCTCCTCCTAAATACCCAAACCATATTTAAGATTACCTTTGTTCAGCAGCAGGGCTTCCAGCTTTGCTAACCGTGCCTGCAAAATATGAAGGATTCCACCATAAATAAGACAGGAAACATTTAGGGGACACATGTGTGGGTGTAGTATGAGTACTCATGTACTCCTATCTATTAAGACATCCGTGCAATAGATCTTAACTAAGCATGATAAGCGTGTCTTCGCATTCCATGTGGATGGTCAAATACATTAACACACTTTGGATTGTTCACCATCAATAAAGAAACAAAACAGGTAGCATCGCTGCAGGATTGCTAAAAATAGTACTACTCCGCTCCATAATATAAAAACGTTTTTGAAGCTAAAACAGTTTGAAAACGTTCTTATATTATGGAACGGAGGGGGTGCTACTTATTCATACAGCATGAGCACAGCCGTTGGTATAGGTAGTAGAGCAACATCCCAAGATTAGTGTAATTAGGCAAGGCCAGCTTTTAAATGTGTGGAACTGCCAAATAAGACCGTGTCTCCTAAAAGAGATTGAAACTTGTATGTTAAAAATGTTCTAGCTTATACGGTATAGCCCGTTTAAAAAAAATTGCGTCTATACCCACCATGTCAAATCAATATGTTAGGACACCAGTGGTCTGATGGATCGTACTCCGTAATTCTGAAGGCAGCTAGACAGGCAACAAATAATATGCATCTAAAATCTGTTGCAGCAGTTGGTTGCTCGCTGACCGACAACGATTTCAATTTGCTCCAAATCAAGCACAACATAACACACACATAAACCGACTCCAGTAAGTTTTCCATTGCTTCCATGTGGCAGATCATTTCCAACGTCAAGTGTCAACAAAACAAACATAACAGGCCTCATTGCTCAAAGAACAGCTAAAACTAGTTACACATGCATCATAGCCAGTGGCAGACGATAGAGCGGCATGACAAGTTGCTTGGGTTAGTCATTTGGAAATACAGTGTCGGTGGAAAGCACAAAGCAGTGAACCTCCATCTGTGAATTTGTGGGATTAGATTATCTGCCCTGTCCTGTAATAACAAGCTAAAATTCAGAGCTTCAAATGTGGCAAAAGTTATACAATCCCTTCCCCAATAATCAGTACGACAAGTGTGTTGATGAGCCGACGCCTTGGCTACAGAAAAGCAAAAGGGACAAGGTTTGGATTCTGGAACATCTGTTTGGGAATTGCGTAACTGAAGTTATGTTCCAGCAGCCGGTGGTCTCGCAGACTACAATTCTTGCAGGCAAGTAACAAAGGTAGTCGTCTAGAAGCTGCTGAGGTCGTACTGAGTTGGATCTGCTCGAAATCAAGCCCACCACGCGCGCACAAACCTACACCGCAATGTCCTAATTCGATAATCCATGAACAAATCGATAGCCTTAGCGCACCAGACTTCTAGACTAGGGCTACAGTTCTCGAACGGAGCAGAGATACTCAGGGGGGCAGGGGAGGAGACAGACGGAGCAAACCTCGGCATCGGAAGCTCTCTCCTCGAAGGATTTCAGGGCTTCCGCCGGCCCCGCCGCCATGCTCGCCGCCCGTGCCCTCGGAGTCGGAGGGGAGTTGACAAGTGGGATGAGCTGGATGGGAAGAGCCTTCAGGTTTGTGGCCCAGGATAAGAACAAAGGCCCGTTATTAAGCAAGGACAGCAAGGTTGCAAGCTTAAACGAACCCTTTTTTTCCTTTCTTTTTTAGGCAGGAAATAATAAAAAAAGAATACTCCATATGCGTAGACCACCTAGTGAGGACTATTAGTAATGAAGTGAGCCAAGGCGCACCGCCGTCATCGCCCCTCCCTCATCAGAGCCGGGAAAAATTTGTTGTAGTAGAAAGTCGGGAAGTCGTCGTGGTAAGGCCAAGGACCAACACACCAGAAAATAATCACCGCCAATGAAGCATAGCATACATCGAAAGAATTCAACCAGAGGACACATGAACATAGACGAACAGATCCGAATAGATTCACCAAAAATAGATCCACCAGAGACACACCTCCACACGCCCATCGATGAGTCTAAACGCATCGCTGGAATGGGGCTAGGTAGAAAGAATCTTATTTCATCTTCAGAGAACCGCCGCCGTCACGCCTTCCTGAGCAGGATAGAAACCCTAACAAAACCCAAAGAAACGGCTAAAATCGAAGCTCTCCGCCCAGCATGGGTCATGATCCCCTAAAGCCATAGGAGACGAAGCGGACTGGCGGCAGGGGCAGAACCGCAGAAGGCAGAGGAATTCTAAACTTTTTTTACGAGGTGCAGGCAAACTTCTGGATGGAACTAGCAAAGTGCTTCTTTCGTTGCATTTTTCCCAACCTTGCTAAATTTGTGAAGTATGAAAAAAAATTCAGCATTGAATAGTGTCAAATAGTAAACATCACTATCTAAAATTTATGTGTTTATGTTCAACTTTTTTAATACATATTCTACATTTTTTGGTATACATCGGAAACTTTTTTATACACGTTTAACATTTTTTCGAATCTTGATTAACATTTTTTAAATACATTATCAACTTGTTTTTTCATACACATTTTTAATGCATTTTTGTATACATAAAAAATTCATACACATTTAACATTTTACAAATGCTAGATTAACATTTTGAAATGTTTTATGTAGAGTGTTTTTTGTAATATGTATATTTAGA